TCGACGTTCTTTATATCCATGCGTAGGTGAGATTATGCTCTACAACTCTCGGTTAGACACCGTCGGCTAATTTTGAATTTAATTTTTATTATATTTATTTTTAGTAGGTCGGGACAGGAAAACTCCGTTATAAACTCATAACTTCTTCATCCGACGTCCGTTTTCGTTTGTCTTTTTACCGTTGGACTACTATCGACGAGATCTTCGATTCTCGTTTAGATTGTTTCGGCTAGAAATCACTCGATCTCATATTCGAACTTTGGGCTGCATACCGCTAAGTCAAAACTTAGAAAAATCATAACTTCCTCATACGAAGTCAGATTTGGACGTTCTTTTTATGCACGCTCCCGGTGTAATGTATTCTATGACTTTCGTTTAGACCGCTAAGGCCAAATATTGCTCTATCGTAAATTCACTATTTACGTCGCGTTGTGTCGTGCCGGTTCTGTCGCGAAACTTCGACAGGTCACAACTTCTTCGTTATAACTCGGATTTCAGCGTTCTTTATATGTACGGAATCCTTGTAAGATATACTACAACTTAGTTAAGATTACTCCTTCTAAATAATCTTCCATCAAAAAGTCATTTTTAACGCTCATTGTCTCTAAATTGACTAACCCTGATCTACGGGCGTTACAAAAGGTCATACATGAAACACAGGAGGGCATCACAATTTTGGCATTTAAGCTGTTCTGAAATCCAACAACCCTATGCGGCCCTTCAAACCAGATTCCCCATACCGTGAGCAGCTAAAAGGTATTATAATAACATTTTGTATAATTTATAATACTTAGCACATGTATTGTTTAGAGGTTCATAACAACGATAATCAATTTAAACATAAGTTATACTTAAAGTAGGGTAAGCATAACTCAATTACAAGGGGATTTTAGCTAGGAGTCGGGCTCTGCAGGGCAGAACTTCGTCGCAGTATCTTTCTAAAAAGATTCTTGTAGCGCTTCAGCGCTAACCTTACTATACTAAAACTACAGAAAGAGAAGTCGAATCACAAGGGACCGAAATGCTCCGGGGTTAAAAAGAGAAATAATCTTGAATCAAGAGAATGGTGCAAGAAATATGAGAGCCTAAAGCCTCTTATTTATAGTAATTGAATTTTCAAAAATCACCCTCTATGGTTACTTAATTGACTAAACACTCATTTATAATACTATTTAAAATAGATTTAATGATATTTGTACTAAACTAATGTCGAAAGTACTCAACACTAGTCTTATAACGACCGCATCATCGATGCCTTTCTAATGATATATACATGTGTGTGTGTGTGTATATATGATTTATACTTTATTTTAATACGTAAATATGCTATTATAAATTATAATTCATTCATCTGAACTCCATTTTTGACGTTTTTTATATCCACGCGTAGATATCGACGAGATCTACAACTTTCGTTTAGACTCCGTCGGCTAATTTTGACTTTATTTTTCGTCCGTATTTTTATAAAATTAAATGATTTTGCTAAAATCATAACTCTCGCATACGGACTCCGTTTTTGACATTCTTTTTCTCAAAATTCTTATTTTAAAGACTAATACGATGTTCTTTTTGGTGGTTTTAGCTAAAAGTCAACTATTCTCTTTGTAGCTTTTTATGTCATACGTTCATTGTGCGCGGATGACTTTTATATCTTATCAAAACCATATCTAATTCATGCAGAGTCAGATTTCTATGAAATTTATATTTACGGGATCGGGAAGAGGTGTACTTTCTAAATATATAATAATATATATGTCTTGGCGCACTTATTTTTACGATTTACAAACGATTCGAGTAACACCCCGAAGTTCAGGTATATCTCTTAAACCCTTATTCTTTTGCAAATTGTTAAATTTAACCTAAAATAGAAGGTAGTGATAAATGGGAACGTTGGGTGTACTTAAGAGTACGTTGCGCGTACCCATGGACGTGAATTGAACGCGGACTCTATTAGGTACGCTGGGCGTACCAAAGTTACGTTGGGCGTAGCTGGCCCAGATGTAAAACCCTAATTGTGACTTGAGGACTATAAAAGGAATGACATGGTCTCCACCCCAGCCACCATTTTTCAGAGAGTGAAACCCTAAGAGAGCAATACCATCGTTCTAAGCTTGTGTGTGTGTTTTTGAGCTTGATATTGTCCTTGTGTGATTGAGAAGAAGAAGAGAAGGTCATTGTGGAGGCTAGAAGTTGGAGTACAAGCTTGGATCTGAAATCTACAGAGGTTGGAGCTTCACTTGGAGGTAAAAAGCTCCAAGCTTTCCTTGTCGTTTTGATTTGTGCTTTATAGACCAATTTTTAGGGTTTTTGGTCCCAAGATGGAGCCTTTATGAGTAAATGGTCTCCATAAGCTTAGATCTGGTCCATTTCAGTATAATGAGTATTGTGGATTCATAAAAATCCAATCTTGGACGTTTAGATTAAGTCATGCATGAGATTAGGGCTTAATGGAGAAAGAGAATATGTGGTTGAAGTGATTGGTGACCTTTTCAGCCATGCAAAGGCTTAAAGGTTTCGACTTTATGGGTTAAGAGGCAGTAGGAGGACTAGATCTGGAATATGAGCAGGTATCTTAACCGATTCACACCAAAAGCATTAAGAACATGAAACTGAGACTTACGCTGGGCGTAAATCTAAGAACGTGTCGCGTAGGGGCTTGAGATCCCCGATTCAGGATCGCCGGCGTACGCCCCGCGTACAGAGTTGGTACGCCCCGCGTACTACCTCTGTTGACTTTCGTTGACTTTTAGGGTTTTGGTAAACTTTTGGACTTTTGGGATTTGGAAGGGTAAAATTGTCTTTTACCCTTCTGAGGGACTATTAGGAAGGGATTAATCTAGCCTTTTAGAGCCGTTATTAATTAGAGGAAATTGTTTATGTGATTAGGTGAGGCGAGATCAGTATTTTGAGTTCGAGAGTTTATCCGACATCATACGAGGTGAGTCTTCTCACTATACTTTACCTAGAGTGGTAATTATGTGTGACCGGAATGTCTTATGTGCTATGACGAGTATGTGATATATGTTGCTATGTGATATGCATGTGTTATGGTATGTTATGAGTAGTATGATATGGACCGGAAGGTCAACAGGGTATGGACCGGAAGGTCAAGATGATACGGACCGGAAGGTCGATGTGGAGGACCGGAAGGTCATTATGGGTAGGACCGGAAGGTCTACCAGGGTTGTGGGACGAAAGTCCCCTGAGACACATGGACCGGAAGGTCTCATAGAGCTATAGCCTCGAGTGGCATATGTGTGCTGTATGTGGTATTTGGGGGAACTCACTAAGCATTTATGTTTTCCGTGTTATGTGATATATGTTTCAGGTACTAGCAAGGATCGTGGAAAGGCGCCGACATGATCTGTACACACTGATAGAGATTTTATGTATTGAGATTCTGGGATTTGTTACTGAGATAACATTGTTACATTTGTGTTTGAGATTACATTATGAGTTATACTATTTTTTTTTAAAATGAAAAAGATTGTCTTGAAAATTTACGTTGTTACAATTCGATTGATTTTTCATATTTTATTATATTATAATAATCATGAAACACATAATATTCATAAAATTCTTCTTTATTACGTCAAATAGGTTACAATTGTCGACCCTAACTATTGATTTGGTTAAGATTATATGTCGTAAATAATCTTCTATCAAAAAAATCATTTTTAACGTTTATTATCTTTAAATTGACTAGCCCGAATCTATGAGCGTTAGAATATTATCTTGAACCGCGTAATTATTAGGGGTGTGTATGGAGCGGTTTGGAGCGGTTAATAGATAAAACCGAACCATAACCAAATTATTCGGTTAATACATTTTGTTAACCATTACTAAGTGGTTAAAATCGGTTTTGGTTAATGGTTAAGTGGTTAATTCAAGTGTGGTTATCGGTTAATTTTGGTTAATCAAAAAGGTTATAAAAAATAAAAAATTTCAAATTGCCATAAAATATAAGCAAGAAAAATTACATTGCTTAGAAAATTGGTTGTTTTACTAATTTTCTCAAAACTATCAACTACTAAAAACAAGAAAATGCATTTACTACTAAAATCAGAAAAAAAAAAACATGAAACGTCAACTATAAATGCAAAGTCAATAGTCATTTTTTTCATTTACTACTAAAGTTTAGAACCATTTACTACTAAAGGTGACCCAAATGTCAAGACAAAAATATCATTGTACTAATTTCTAGTTATGCAAAAAAAAATCCTTCAATCTTCAATCTTCAATCCTCATCCATGAATGAATCATTACATGATTTTGCTCTCTTTGAAAAGTAATCTACAATAAACAACATTTCACAAATTGTTAAAATTTATATGGAAAAAGATTACAAAATATAACTCATTAAACGAGGAAAATTTTAGTGGTTACCAATTTCTAGTTTCTCCAAATTCACCATTAGTTCTTGTAGTTGTAGTCCATGAATAGTCGTCTATTGCAAATCCGATGGTGTAGAACGTAGCCAATCTTGTGTGCATATCAACGCTTCGGCAGTCTTTGGGGTAAGAGAACTTCTAAATTTATCAATAACCCTACCACCGGTACTAAATGCCGACTCACTAGCAACGGTTGAAATTGGCATTCCCAAAACATCTTTTGCAATTTGAGAAAGTATAGGGTACTTGCCCGAATTGCGATTCCACCAGCTTAGTACATCAAAATTATCTCCCTTCATTTTCTTTTTCATTGTATCGGCCAAATATAAATGCAAAGTCAATAGTCATTTATTCATTTACTACTAAAGTTTAGAACCATTTACTACTAAAGGTGACCAAAATGTCAAGACAAAAATATCATTGTACTAATTTCTAGTTATGCAAAAAAAAAAATCCTTCAATCTTGAATCTTCAATCCTCATCCATGAACAAATCATTACATGATTTTGCTCTAATTGAAAAGTAATCGACAATAAACAACATTTCACGAATTGTTAAAATTTATATGGAAAAAGATTACAAAATATAACTCATTAAACAAGGAAAATTTTAGTGGTTACCAATTTCTAGTTTCTCCAAATTCACCGTTAGTTCTTGTAGTTGTAGTCCATGAATAGTCGTCTCTTGCAAATCCGATGGTGTAGAACGTAGCCAATCTTGTGTGCATATCAACGCTTCGGCAGTCTTTGGTGTAAGAGAACTTCTAAATTTATCAATAACCCTACCACCACTGGTACTAAATGCCGACTCACTAGCAACGGTTGAAATTGGCATTCCCAAAACATCTTTTGCAATTTGAGAAAGTATAGGGTACTTGCCCGAATTGCGATTCCACCAGCTTAGTACATAAAAATTATCTCCCTTCATTTTCTTTTCCGTTGTCTCGGCCAAATATATATCCAATTCAGTATTATTAATACATTTTCCACGATTTTCCAAATATTTAGCATATCCATCATCCAAATCTAGATCTACAAAACTACTAAATGATGCAGTTGTAACTATTGAAGAACCAATTGTCTTTTTCTCATTTTCTTTGTCCGTCATTTTCTTGTATTTAATAAATAACTCCTTTAAACTTTCTAGCACTCACTGATTTACTTCATTGCTTTTTTCAGAATTGGTACCATAAATCAACCCCAAACAATAATCAAGAAAAAACATCTTATTTCGAGGATCTAAAACTAATGCAATATGCAACAATAAATTCATGTTATCCAAGTTGTCCCAATACTTATCATATTTCGCTTTCATTGACAACGTCATACCTCTCTTTTTTTCATCTTTGTTTAAACACATATTTGATATGGCCGCATGCATTGTGACTAGCTCCCCAACAAACAAATTTGATGTTACATATTTATTACCGGAAACTTTTTTTGTAACATTGTAAAAAATTTGTAAGAAATCCATAAAATTCCTATTGAAAAACAAATTAAGATAATCAAGCTATTATTATATATAAATATTAGCATACTTAAATGAAAACAATAAAATTCATACCTTGCTTTTTCCCAGTCCTCGTCTTCGGGATCTCCCAGAACTCGATCATTCTTCTTTGAGTTCTTTCTCTTTCTAGTACTAATCTTCTCACCATCATCATCGTCGCCTTCGTTATAGAAGTAAGAACTATAATTGATATCAATCTCTTGGAGCCTATAAAAACCAAAGTAACAAACATTAATAACACATAGTAGTAAGAATGTATAGTAAAACAATAATATAAAATACCTATTAAATGCCTTTGAATACTTCTTTGCCGTTTCCAACATTAAGAATGTGGAATTCCATCGAGTCTCTACATCAAAACATGGTTTGCTTTTGCAATCAATCTTTTCATACTCAATACACTCTTTAAAGCTCTCATACCTTGAAGGAGATGATCTCACATACTTAATTGCTCATCTAAGCCATCTCTCACCACAAGGTTGATGATATGGGCACAACATCTTAAGTGCAAATATTTGCAATCTAATATAGACCGAGATCCCTTTAACATATATCTTAAATATTTAATTGCTCCATCGTTAGATGAAGCATTATCAACGGTTATTGTAAAAACTCGATCTATGCCCCATTCTTGTAAGCAACGATAAACATACTTTCCTATCGTCACACCCTTATGGTTGGGTATTTGACAAAAATTTAGAATTCTTTTGTTCAACATACAATTGTCATCAACCCAATGAGCTGTAAGACACATGTTATTAAAATTTTGGATCGATGTCCATGTGTCGGTGGTAAGAGAAACAGATTGATTTTTTAGAAGTTTTTTAAGCTTCTTTTGCTCTTCTTCATATATTGATAAACAATCATTTGCAATGGTCCACCTAGATGGAATTTTGAACATGGGATTAATTTCCCAAACAAATTCCCTAAGCCCCTCATCATCAACTATACTAAATGCTCTATTATCTTTAATACACATTCTCGCTAGGAATTTCCTAGCCTTTTCTTGATTGAAGTGATGAGAAGCCAAAGTACCCCCGGATTGCCCCTTTGTTGTTGGCTTGAAGTTTAACGTAGCTTGTTTCTTCATTCCTTCTTTCTTGTAAAGTGGAGACCGTCTACATACATTCTTCAAGTGATACGACAAAGCACTCGTACCATTTTCTTTTGAACCACCAGCCATTATAAGTGGACAATAGTCACATTTAACTTTACCATTACGACCCTCAACTTTCTTAAAGTGATCCCACACGAAGGATCTCTTTGACCGACCACCTTTATGTTTGGTGTGTTCATCTACATTGTCCACATCATTTGCTGGTTCATTGCTTTCATTAGGAACATTAATGACCGGATCTAATTCATCCCTTAAACTCGTATTTTGGTTTTTTGTGGCTTCTTCCATATAGAATTTTCTGAAAATATATTCATAATGAATTAGTGATAATATGACATCAATAGAATGGGTGAAGGCACTTAAATATTTTAGGCTTGTGTTAAAAACTATTTAAATTCCAATCCCACTCGTATTTTGGTTTTTTGATGCGCTTTAAATATTTCCTGAAAATATATCCACATTAGAATTTGTTGATGTGGGTTTAGCATTTTAAGAGGTCACGTAACAGTGGGATTGGAATTTAAACTCACTAAAGCAAACTTCAAAAACAAACATGGAACGAATGAAGACGTAAAGTATAGTAAAACACGAAAAAAAACAAAATAACAGAATGATATAAAAAAATACCTGAATAGTGAATCTAAAGGGGATGAAAAAGAGACTTCTATTTTCTAATATGCAAGTGGACTTCTGACAATGAAGATTGAAGAAGAAGAAGGGAGAAAACGAGAAGGGTAGAATGTCGCCGGTATTGTCAATAATCAAAGGGTTTTATTTTATTTGGGCTTTGGTATATTCAATATTTATGAACGATTGGACGTTGGATTTTGAGATTTGCTAGGGAATCTATTTTATTATTATTATTATTATTATTATTATATAATAATAATAATAATAATAATAATAATAATATAGGCGGTTCGGTTAATATAGGGTCGGTTACCATATAAAAACCAAAACTGAACCACTAGATATCGGTTATCAAAAATAATAACCAAATCAAACGGTTTTAAAAATGATTCGGTTAATATGGTTCGTTTTTAACGGTTTTAGCAGTTATGGTTCAGTTTTTCGGTTTTTATACACACCCCTAGTAATTATCCAGTTTCCTAATTATCCACCAAGGATAATTCTACAAACCCTAAGGCTCCTTAAAACCATCCATAGCTTCATGGAGGGTTCTAGACTGTCTTTTGCTTAACTATTAAACAATTGCTCTTTAGTCCCTGCATTTTCAATTAACTCTTTTAATCACCAAATTAGTTCTAATTAGTTTCTGATTAAAAATTAATTAAATATTACTATTTTTAATTAATATAATATTTCCATAATATATTAACAAGTTATTTATTTTAAATTTTTATACAAATAATAAATCATTCTCTCTCTCCAAAATAATCTTGTCCAATTGTTAGGTTTGAGGGAAACCCAAAATGACTGTGCTACCATCAATTCAAGATTATACTAATTACAGTTATGAGCTTAAACACCTAATCCAACAGTCTCCCACTTGGATAAGTCTGTAACTATAACTGCCAGTATAACTTCCAAATTGATCAGCAAATTGTAGCTATCAAAAGCTGTTGTCGAACTCTAATCCAGTCAGTTATGCGTCCTAAGATAAGTGATCATATAATCATTCGTTCAACATGATATCATTCATATATGAGACATGGAACATAATCAATCTCATTTTCCAATATTTGGTTTCCCGATTTCTGATTTGTAATGACATATAACTTCTAATCGAACACATCAATCAAGTCCTTGTCGGGCCCGACACTATAAGTCAACACCAAATCATCGAGGGGCCCAAAGATATCACTTTTCCCGTTAAGGAAAAAGAGACATATAAGCTTTGACTTATATGCTTGTACTATCTATTTACCAAATCATGCACAACAATACGTTTTATAACATCATATTACTGATGCATTTATGTATCATCAATGCACAACTGATTTGTAAACCACAACTCATCTATCTCTATTTTAAATATTATAAGATATTACCGTCTCATAATTACTCGTGATAAATTCCATGAAGTAATTCTCTGAGTGTAGGTTAATCCAATACTTAAATCTCCATTTCAAAGTACTCATGAACATTGCAGCAATACAATTGCTATGTCTAAAACCTCTTAGACAATCTATAATTCAATTCATGACAGCCTTAATTCACTACTTACTTCGAAAAGTACGATCGACTGTGGAGTTTTGAATAATCGGATTATTAGGGAAGTAAAATATGAAAATGAAACACAATAATAAATAATTGACAAGAGGCAGTAAACAAACTCATAAATAAATCTGCATTATTTAATCACCAAAAGTCAATTACATTTATTTTGTTACAAGTTTTAACTAACTATCTAACTACTAAAACTAACATCATCTTTCAGACGAATGCTCATAGCATGTTAAACATGTTTGAACCTACTCAATATGCAGGGTTCTCTTCAGATGATACCCTCTTTACAACGAGGTGACCTTCTTCTACTCTATGCCTGATGAAATGGTATTTTCTATTGATATGTCTTGATCTGCCAAGATCTCTTGGTTCCTTTGTTAATGCAACCGCTCCTTCATAATCACAGAAAATCTCCATTTTCTCCTTAATGTCTAGAACAACTCCAAGGTCTCTAATGAAGTTCTTCAACCAAATAGCCTCCTTTGATGCTTCACTAACCGCTATGTACTCTGATTCACAGGTAGAATCAACCACTATCACTTGTTTGGAACTTTTCCAGGTTACCGTTCCTCCATTCATGGTAAACACCTAGACAGACTGAGAACAGAAGTTGTATATGTTTGTTTGAAAGTTGGCATCACTATACCCAGTTACTCTCAACGTATCACTACCACCAAGCACAAGGACCCAAACCTTAGTTCTTCGCAAATACTTGATAATATTCTTAACTTCTATCTAGTGAGCTCTACCCAGATTTCCCTAATAACGTCTAACATCCCAAAATTCATGAAAGAACTTGAACTTTCAAAACTTTCATATTTCTGAAAGACCCAAACTTTCATATTTCACAATATTGTTACTCCAAAACATGCTACATGCATATTCATAAAACAATATTTTACATTGATAGTTTATTTACATAGACTGGATACAAACCAACTATTAAGATTTCTACAAATTTATATATATATATATATATATATATATATATATATATATATATATATATATATTACATACTTTCCCAGCAATACAATACAAAAGTTATAATATTATCTAATATATATATATATATATATATATATATATACATATATATATATTACATACTTTCCCAGGAATACAATACAAAAGTTATAATATTATCTATTCTACATCTTCTACCAGTACAAAGCTATACTGGATGCTTATCACATGTAATAGTTTAAACATTGAGAGGGATAAGCGGGTGACGCTTAGTGAGTTCAATAACAGTTACAATATAACATTATGTCGTATACATATCAATATG